CCAGGCTGGAGTGCAATGGCACGATCTCGGCCCACTGCAACCTCTGCCTCCCCGGTTCAAGCGATTCTCCTGCCTCAGCCTCCCGAGTAGCTGGAATTACAGGTGCCTGCCACCATGCCCGGCTAATTTTTGTGTTTTAGTAGAGATGAGGTTTCACCATGTTGACCGGGCTGGTCTCAAACTCCTGACCTCAGGTGATCCGCCCACCTCAGCCTCCCAAAGTGCTGGGATTACAGGCGTGAGCCACCGCACCTGGCCAAGCATTAACTTTTAATGCATTTTATTTCCCCAAAGCGTTTTCATTCCATTGCATCAATTGCTATGACATTAAATAAAATATACCGAAATAAAACCTGTCATATAATTTTTTCCTGTTAATCTGCACACACAGACATCCCCTCCAAAAGAACAGGAAAAAAAAAAGCCAAGAATCTCCTCCTGGCTATAACTGATGGTGCTAGAGCCACTGTACACTCAGAATCTGTTATCTGCCAGGTTGGGGGTGGCTCAGGTGTGCACACAGGTGTCACTGCCTGGGAGGGGTGTCCTCGGGGTGTGAACCTGAGCCGGGAAGGAAAGCAGGGGAGCCAGCCAACTGTCTGCTTAGCCCTGGGTGAAGAAGTTACAGCCAGGCCTACCCCACTAGTGCCGACGCTGCAGGGGGCGGGCTGGGACAGGTGTCCAGGCCACACTCTCCAGACCAGAGCGGCACAGCTGGGAGAGCTGACCTTCACTGCACCTGCCTCAGGGTCCCCAGACACCCCTCCACGAGCCGCGTCCACTTGGTCTTCTAAGTGCTTTTTGAACATTTCTAAATCGCAGAGAAAAGGTGAAAGGATCCCTTTAGCTGTCGGTAGTTTGGGCAGCTCTTTCCATGATTTTTAAACCCACAGTGAGAAAAACATTTTATGCTGTGACCAGGAGCACACAAAACTAACCGCACAATGTGTGAAATGCTCTTATTTTCTGTCGATTCCATCTCACTACGAACACGCAAGTCACATCCACAAATCATCATTTCCAAAACTTCTCAGACATGAGCGTCATGTAGGATATGTGCTAAGAATCAATTCCAGGCCCACCCTAACCCACCACCTGGAACCCCCGGAGAAGGGGTCCCCAGAGTCCCCGGCAAAGTGGCTTCCCGTTAACGAGGTGATGAGTGTGAAGGAAAACGCGGGCAATGAAGTCATCCATGTGAGGGCGGAGACACGGGTGAGAGAACCCCCTGCTGGGGCACAGGAGCCCCTCTGTGCCCTGCACCCGGAAGCTGAGCCAGGAACAGCTAGGACCACACAGCCTTTGCCACTGCGCTAATCCTATGCAAGAATACATTTGTCTCTTCGAGCTAGAATTTAGTAAAAACTGCTGCCACATTCAGATCAGCCTGAAGGTTTCTGAAGCTCCACTGGACCCCATAATTCTAGCCTTTGATTTCATGCGCTCACTACCCACGTCTAATCTAAGATTTAAACTCCATCGCTTAACTATCCGAGAAGGTTAAAAATATCCACAAGGCCATTAAACTCTGGGAACTGCCTCAGAGGCCTCCCGGGCCTAGCGTGTGCGTCCCCTCCTTCCCGGGGCCTGGGTGAAGGGCGGGTGGTGTGGGGCAGGTGTGGCCCCTCCACAGGCCCCAGCTGAGGAAACCTAGTAGGGATGGAGGACCTGGACCTGCTGGACTGAGACACGAGGATCCCCTCGGGGGAGAGGAGGACGCTGGCGAGGCCTGAGGCCTTCACAGGTACCAGTTCTCACAGTCTCGGCTTCCTTAATTGACTAAGGCAACATAAAGGTCTTCTGCGCTATTTTTACATTACATTTCAATTAGCCTTTTTCTATATTCACAATCAAACTAAAATAGTGCATGCTTTTTTTTTTTTGAGGGAATGTATTACTGATTTTGACACAGATCAGAGCATCATCATTCAGTCCAACCCTCTCATCTGACGCGGCGGGAATCAGAGATCACCAGTTAAAGCCCTGCCCAGCATCTCTCGGCTGCCTGTGACATCCGTATGGCTGTCTGCAGAGGGAGGTTGTCTGATAGTTCACGGTGCCTCAACAGCACGGAGCTCCTCGTGGCCAGACCGTTGGCAGCTGCCTGGCGTGGTCTCCCGTCTCATGAAAAGGCTGAACCGGCTGTTGATAAGATTCCTGTTAGCAATTCCATGAGTCTGGGTGAACTCCTGGCCCCGCCAGGGACCCATTTTGACTTGGCATTTGCTTTGGGTGCTCCTCGCCGTGATTCCCCAAGCAGACCTGTCCCTACAAACCAGACTGCGGGTGAGCGGAGCCTGCGGGTGCCCACGGAACACACCAGGCCGACTGCAAGCACAGGAACCATCCCACCTCCCCTCTGCTCAGCGCCGACCGCCAGGGGAAGGAACTGCTGAGGCTCCTGCAGGAAAGTCACGGCTGCGAAGGAGCCAGTGCTGTGTTTCTCCGACACCAGCAAGGACCCTGAGTGCCTCCCACACGGAGAGGCGGGGTGCATGTCTTGTCAGAGGCAGGCTCCCATTCAGCCGGTTTAGGGGGCCGAGATCCGGCCTCCCAAGCCTCATCTGAGGAAGGGGGTCTTAAATACCCTGGGTCACCGTCCGCCCTCGTTGGGCTCCTCCCCACAGGCTGGGCCGCCTGATGGCAGCCCCCGTTTCTGTCTGAGCAACCTCACAAGCAGCAAGGGCTCCTTTCCTCACCACCAAGAACATCCCTGACCAAGTGTTAGCCCTAAGATGTCCCCATTCCTCAAAAAATTACCCCCCCCACCCGTGGACAGGCGCGCAGTGCTCAGACACAGGTGGCCGTCCCTGGATGCCCTGCGTGTCCTCGTCCTGCAGGCCCTGCCACCGCTCCCGGCCCGCAGAGCTCATGCCTGGCGGCACAGCCCCATCTGCTCCCTTCACTCCCGCCCCCACGCCTGCTAGGGCTGCAGAGCGACGCGCCTCCCACAGAAGCAGCCCTCCGTTCTCGCTGCCCTCCAGGTGCCTGCCTGAGACCCACTTCTTCCGGAAAACCAGCCCCCAGTCATCAGACAAAAGAACAACAAAGCTTCGCAGATCCTCCCGAGACATTCAGAACCCAAGCACCTGTTTTTCACCAGGGCAAAACCCACCACACTATCGTTTCGGACCGGCCTGTTCCTACCAGCATGATCCATGAGTGGAGGCACCTGCACCTGTGACTACAGCCATGCAGCCTCAGCCGCCCGCTGGGCAGAAACCCCGAATCACAGATCGGCTACCCGCCCCCCACATACTTCCTGTGCGCCTGGCACAGGCAGGGCTCAGCCAGGCGCTGAAAAGGGAAGCTGAGCAGCCTCCTGCCCGTGGCAGCTGAGAACTCACTTCCCTCCTTTTCTTCTCATGCCTACGAAAACACCATTTTTTCCCTTAAATTATCGAAATCTCAAGATTTAAAACACACTTTTGCAAAGTGGAATATAACTATTGGCACTGGCCTTGGACAGACCTGGAAGTTGTTTTTGTCACCTCTCCCCAGGGAAGATGCGGACACAGCAACCCTCCGTGACAACAGTGTATAGTCCCGAGAACGTGACAGCCAAGGTGACCTCATCCCCAGAATGTACCACAATGCCCCCCAAATTCCCAGACTGAGGGGGCTCGGCAATCCCATCCCACTGACGGACTAGGAATTGCTAAGGAAGAAGCTTCGGAGGCCAACTGTGTAGCCTGCACCAGCCCAGAGAACAAGGGTGGGGGAGGAGGGTTCCCGCTTCTACGGACCTGCTGGGGGTCTCGGGAAGCCTCCTGGACTCTCAGCAGAACGAAAACCGCCCAGGGCTGAGGCCGTGCCCCTGTGGCATGTGGCCCGTGGGGTCACCCAGCTGTCTGGGCAGGGCTGAGGATGGAACAGCCTCTCCACTTAATCACTCCGAGATCTCCCAACTGGGTCAAAATCCATTATTGACAACCTGCCTGCCTGGAGCACACGCGGAAGCCAGAGGACTTCCCGGAATGCTCCAGGCAGGTGGAATTGTTCCCAGCCCCCTCGGAGGAGGTGACAGAGGGGTCCCCGCAACCCCTGCTGTGTGGGGAGACCTCGGGAGCCAGGAGCGCGGGCGGCGGCTCCACTGGTCACCCCGAAATCGCAGGACGCCCCAGGGTCTCCGGGACTCGTGGGTTTGGGAGAACGTTCGCGACGCGGAGCGGGCCCTGTTCACCTGCCGGATGCCCCCTACGTCCGTCCGAACCCGGGAGCCCCGCAGCAGGGACCCTCCTCATCCCCAGTGACCACCGTCCGGACCTGGCTGCGCTCGGCGGGCAAGGCTGGGAGCCCCCCGGACGGGAGGACGCGGCGCACGGGCTCCGAGTTTGCAGATTTCGCGGTTGCGGGAGCTGAGCTGGGTCTTCTCTCCCCCAATTCGGGCCGCGTCCCTGCGGGTCGAGGAGGCAGACGTGGGGGCGCGGTCGTGTGTCCGAGCGGGAGTGGGGCGTTCATCTCCGGGAAGAAGGGGGACCGGGAAAGGCAAAGCGCGCCGAGCGTTCGCCCACCCCCGCCCTCTCTCCGCGCGAGCCGGGTGCGCCCCCAGCCGAGCCGGGGCGGGCACCGGGAGAGTCGGGTTTTCCGAGACCCGCGCCCCTTCCTCGCCTTCCGCTCACCCGGGCTCCCGCAGGACCAGCGCGGACAGACGGGGCGATGTGCGGCCGAGACTTCCATCCACGCGCGCGGCGCGGCCAGACCCGCGAGCGCCTCCGGCCAGGCGTCCTCCCCCGACCCCCGGACTCCCGGCGCTGAGCAGGAGGGGGCGACACCAGCCCCGCCCCGCCCGGAGCCGCCCCGGTCCCCTTGGCCGAAATGGGGGAATTCTAAGGTCCCCTCCCACCCTCCCGCGCCCGCGCGCACCGCGCGCCGGGAGAAGAAGCTGCGCGCGGAACCATCGGACAAGAGCCCGCGACCCCCGGCTCACCGCCCACTGCGGCCTCGGCTCCTTCGCCGCGGACCCCCCACCCTCGGCCCCACGGCGCGCGCAACTTTACCTGCGGTCCAGACTCCGCGAGCTGCTGACTCCGCTTACCCAGCTGGCGGCCTCCTCGGGGCGGAGCGCGGCGTCTCTGGAGCCGGCATCCCAGACTCCGGCACCGCCCCGCGCACCGCCCCCGTCCCGGCCTTCGGTGGCGCGGCGCCCCCTCGCGACATCCGAGGGTCCCCAGGGGCGAGCCAACCCCTTACCGGGTCTGGAGCGGGGGCCACGTCCACCTGGAGGAAGCATGGAGCCCACCCAGCTGCCCTTGGGGCGCAGGAGGCCCGGGCCCCACTCTGCACTCCGCACCCACCAGCGCACGCCCTGGCGGGCACACACGCTCACACTCACATAGGTGTACACTCACATCGACAATCGGTGCAACTCACACACTCCCTGCCACAGTCATAATCACACTCACACAGGTGCACACTCTCACATAAACAATAACTTCACACTCACACAGGTGCACACTGACTCTCACATACACACTCAACTTCATTCACAGGCACATGCATACACACACTCATAACCATATTCACCCAGGCACACATGGACACACACACGTGCACATTCACATAGACAATCCGTGCAACTCACACACTCACTGCCACACTCATAATCACACACAGATGCACACTCACATCGGCAATCCGTGCAACTCACACACTCACTGCCACACTCATAATCACACACAGATGCACACTCACATCGGCAATCCATGCAACTCACACACTCACTGCCACACTCATAATCACACACACAGGTGCACACTCTCACATAGTTTCATAACCCTAGTCATTAACGCACATGCATGCACACACTCATAACCACATTCATTCAGGCACTCATGGACACATGCACACACACACTTGCATACACACACACTCACACTGTGGTCATTCCAGAGGCACAGGCTGCCTGCTGCCTGCTGTGACCACTCCCAAGCAGCCTCTGAGGTACACGGGAAGAGATGAGGAACCCGGCCCAAGACTCTGGAAGGACAGGACTGTGGGTTTTGAGTCAACAGCCAAGGCACTTCTGGTGGAGCGGATCCCCAGGAGACGCCAGCTGTGAGGATTCCGGACGCGTCTGTGGGATGGATCCTGGAGCCGCAGCGGAGCCTCTAGTGTGTGGATGTTTCTCATTTGCATCCACAAAAAGGAAGTGTTCCTCTACAGCTCCAGCCAGAGCACCAGGGCTTGGAAGGGAATATTTTCTCCATGGAAACATCTACCAGATTCAGAGCAGGAGGTGCCTGCACTGCTGTCCCTGAAAGGGCAGAGGCTGCCTTTTTTTGGGGGGGGCGGGCAACTGGTAGTTAGCAGAGGCCTTTGAGACTGAGCAGAGCTGCCCCTGGGGACATTGCTCTGAAGGTCCAGTGGACGTTTGCAGCTGCAGGAGGCAGAACCAACCAGGACCCCTTGATCACAGAAGCCCCTGTTAAACACACTCGTTAGAAAAGTAAACAAGATAACAGATCGCTCTGTCTGCGCCTGGCACGCGGGGGTTGCCCCATAGCTGGTGGTTTGGATGTGGGGGGTCTGAAGGGTTTCTCAGGCTGCGCATTCTCTGACCTCAGTCTATTCTTCTTGGCCCGGTTCAGCCCTGGCGCCTCTTTCAGACCCTGCACCTTGACCCAGTCTCTGGTGGCTGTGACCGTGCAGAGTGCAGCCAGCCCATCACCTCCCTTTTGCAGACTCTATACCTCTACTGATCCAACCAAAATGCTCACCAGCCTTTCCAGGCACCACATCACATTTCAGACAGCCCTGGCTTGCTAGTCAACTTAAAGCTCTAGGTCTGTGCAGTTGTTGGTTTATTTTTCCCCATGATTTTCTGCTTCTTGATTCTTTAAAAGTCTAGGTTTTGTATATTACAATTTGTCCCTAGTACATTGTATTTCACTAGTTTTTATGAGGTTAAACTTTTTCATGAGTCTTGTCAGATGTTTCAGATCTTAATTCTGTTATTCAGCTTATTAGCTTCCTTCTCATCTGAAGCCATTGGAAAACTGCTAAGTGGAGCTGGGCCATCCAAATCATCAGTATAATTCATGTTTCCAAAAGAAGGGGTCACACCAGCAAGCCCGGGTCACTGACTGCTGCCCCGATGCCAGCCACGGCTCCACTCCCACCCTGCTGGTTCATTTCCCATTTTGTTTGGGAGGATGTCGTGGAGACTTTCAGAAATCAAAATACAATGAATCGGGCATCCAAACTAGTAAATCTGCCAATATCACACACAAAAAAAGACAGCAAATAATGTGGTCTGTTTAATGAGTTTTTTTAGTATTGGCTAATATCCACCAATCTGGGGGATGGGGCGAAGTATGACCCCTCGGTCCTGGAGCGGGGAAGGGTCTGTGTACCCCGGACCAAGTTCCTAACGCGTGGTGCCTCAGTTTCCTTGTCTATAATAGCAGAACACGTGTTGCTGTTTTACTAATTAAATGAGACAATGCTAGTACATATCTGGCTCACGGCAAACAAATGATCGTCATTATTTTAGGTGCTTGCAAAACCCATCACAATCTGGAATGTTTCCAGAATGTTGAAACACTGAACACATCTGCAAACTGAGTCTTGAAAATGGGACCTGGGACTTAGAGCGAGGACGCAGTGCGGTATCCTGCCCAAGGGCAGTTCGCCCCTGCACCGCGTGGGGGTGAAACACGTCCCTTGACAGGCGATTTGTACAACCCAGTTCTTTCTCCCTGTGATCCTGTAAATCGGTCCCGTGTCTCTCGGATGTGGGCAGGCCTCGTGTGTGTTTTTCTCCCCCTGTGATCCCGTCAATCGGTCCCGTGTCTTTCAGATGTGGACAGGCCTCGCGAGAGTTTCCCTCCTGCTGTTGTCCTGTAAATTGGTCCCGTGTCTCTGGGACATGGCCTCGTGTGTGTTCCTCGTAACTCATCTCTGTTCTCTTCTCGTCTCCCTAAGCCACAGACTTCCTCACCGTGTGTGTCTCCTTCCCGTTCATGGTTCCTGTTGCTCCGTCTCTGAACGTTGGATGTTTCACACGTTCCCCTTCTTCTTCTGATTGTTGTTGACAGCGGAATTAGGCAGACACTGAGGGGGTTGGGCCTTCCAGCTGCTCAGGTCCCAGGACCCCTGCACTGTAGGTGTCCTAAGAAAGCGCCGGTGATGGGCTGCAAGGACACAAGGATTCGGGGACAGGCCACAGAAGGTGGGACTCGCTCCGTTCCATGCTCATGACCCCCCTTTCTAAATCACACACTGTCACACTCACAATCACACTCACACAGGTGCACACTCACATCGGCAATCTGTGCAACTCACACACTCACTGCCACACTCACGCACATGCATGCACACACTCATAACCACATTCTTCCAAGCACACATGGACACACTCGTACACACGTGCACGCTCACACACACTCTCGCACTGTGGTGATCCCAGAGGCACGGCTCCCAGCTGATGTGCCTGCACCTTCCTGTAGCTTCTCTTTTACGAAAGGAACAGACTCTTTAAGATGTTTTCTGTCTGTAACACACGCTCATTGTAGAAAATGTGTGAACTTTTTGTGAAAAACACAAAGAAGAAAATAATAAATCACTTCTAACTCCCATCTTCATCATCCAAACTTATCCCTGTTAACAGTTTGACACCTAAACACTTTGGTCTCGTTTGTTGTTGTTGTTGTTGTTGTTGTTGTTGACTTTGGTCTCGTTTGTTGTTGTTGTTGTTGTTGTTGTTGTTGTTGTTTTGAGACAGGGTCTTGTTCTGTGGCCCAGGCTAGAGTGCAGTGGTACGATCATAGCACCTCCTGGGCTCAAGTGATCCTCCCACCTCAGCTTCCTGCCTAGCTGGGACCACAGGTGTGCCACCACACTCAGAGAATTTGGTTAGTTTTTGGGGAGACACAGTCTCACTATGTGGCCCAGGTTGGTCTTGAACTCCTAGGCCCAGACAATCCTCCTGCCTTAGCTTCCCGAAGTGCTGGCTTACCAGGTAAGAGCCACTGTGCCTGGCCTACTTTGGTCATTTTTATGTAAAAATAATTTTTGGTTTATGATACAAAAATCGCATCATAAATACACACTGGGCAGGGTACACACACTGCACAGAAGGAAATGCACACTTTCCATTTTTTCCAGTCTCCAACACCATTTTAAACAGAGCTCCATCCTGGGGATGCTGTCACACTTTAACTTATTTGACATTGATGTTTTCTCCAGTTTTTCACCGTCATAAAATTCTCTGCCATAAACATCTTCACAGACAAATCTTGACCCACTTTCTTGACTGTGGTGACATTGCTGAATCCCAACCAATGTATTATTAGAGGAAAATCCTTAGTGTGAACATTAAAATTGAAATTTTATTTCTTCAAAAAAATAGGCACAGTGGCTCCTTTTTGTAATCCCAGCATTTTGGGAGGCTGAGGCAGGAGGATCGTTTGAGCCCAGGATTTCAAGACCAACCTGGGCAATATAGCAAAACTCCGTCTCTAAAAAAAAAAAAAAAAAAATTGAAAAATTGTCTGAATGTGGTGGCACATCCCTGTAATATTAGCTACTTGGGAGGGTGAGGTGGGAGGATCACTTAAGTCCTAGGAGTTGGAGGCTACAGTGAGCTGTGGTCATACCACTGGACACCAGCCTGGGTGACAGAGAGAGACCCTGTTTCAAAAAAAAATAGAAAATAAAAAATAAAAAAAAGAAAAGGAGGAAAGGAAGAAAAGAAAAGGAATAGTGAGCTTGTGTGTCCACGGGCTTATCTGTCTTGGGTGCTAAGCCTCTTGGGCAGGGGTACCTTCATATATGTGTCCTTGGGCCTCGGCATGGGCCGGGCTCTGAAGCATGTCGTCGGCAAGCATCCACTGAAGGCGGAAATGAGGAAGTGGGTGGGACTGTCATAAACTTAGATGTCAAACTACTTTCTTTACTATAAGTTTCCAAATTAGTCATTTTCTTCTAGATAGTTACTACAATTTTCATTTCTTGGCTGATTTTCAAAATAAGATGATACATGCTGTGGCTTTTCCGAGATAGAATTGACACCTACAAGTCACCCATTTAAGTTGTACCATTCAGTGGCTTTTCATTTACGCAGCGCGTACAGCCATTGCTACATCCATTTTAAAG